CGCGAGGAAACTTGGACTTATAATTTCTAATTATAATTGTGAAATCAGTCCTCCTTGAGCAAGCGTGGTGATTAATACTCAAACCTTCGTGTGCATTGGACGCTTGTAGGCTAATGATGTGATGTGACATTACTAAGCTTGCTTTATTATACGCATTGCCTAAGTAATTCAAATTCTTTTACATTTGACATACATACATCTTTTTTTATATTATGTGTATTACTTAATAAAAATTACTTCGACACATTTTTCTTGTTGCTATCCCGAGATTATACTTACAGTCCGACATTCGCCTACTTTATAATATACATATTTTTGTTAAATCTGTCTTCTCAGAAAACGCAAAAAATATAGGTTAGTAACCTACATACCACACAATGGTAGGTATACGGAATTCAAGCTAACAAAACCCGTGTATTGTCCTCGAAAAGGAACTTGTTACACTTTTTTCTGCTCTGTATACACCAACGTGAGTAAATATTTATTTTTCAAGTACAGCAAATAATAAGACGAAAAGAAAGTCGCTGATTTATTATATCCTTTAACGCTCCGATCCCTAACAATCACGACGCGAAGATCGCATACAAATCGCTTAGAAATAACGATCAAATAACTCACATTTAAATACCGCACGAAACTCGGGCAAAACGGAATTTTCGAGAAGGAACACATGCCATGAACGACTTCTGATTTCACGCATGGCGCCACGCGATTTTTTATCTCGTAGACGTATAAATCATTTCTATCAGCAGTGAATTTTCTGTGCTCTCAACTTTATTACTGAATTGCTCTTCGTTATACATATGTAAATATAAAGTATTTCCTAATTGATCACAATCATAGTTTCTCTCCGTATCTAGACACACGTACTTAGTTATCTAACTTCTACAAAGGAATAAGTAACTTTTGAAAACCATTTATACTGATTGCGGTATAACAGAACTCAAAGTGACCTAGTTTTAGACTTATCTCTATATTCTAGGCATGTTACTGGGTACTGTCAACAAAGAGTTTCAATAGCGAGGAAGTATTGATATTATCGGGTACATCTCATTTTAAACTTTGTTGTAAATAATATACAGTATAATTTCACATAGTCAGAGATAAAAGTCACAAGAGATAATAAAAATATAAAATACCTATAACATCTACTTAGATAAAAGTTCTTAAAAGCAAAGCCAGGTTGAGTCTTTTAAAGATAAACCACGGAGTATATCGCGAAAACTTTTTTATATTCAGATAAAGTAAAACCAATAATCTAGATTCAAAGTGTTCTTAAACAATTTATAACAGAAAATAACTTTTGAAATCAGAATTTATTGCGTGATTGCTTTGTGGGATTTTAAAATCGGTTTTATTTTAGTCATACAATTTGAGCAATTATTTATACTCTGGTAACTTTTAAGGAGAGTTGCTAGAAATGTAGTATTTTAGAGTATAATATATTAACATAATTTGCTAATACCTTGGTAGGTTTGACGTTTCGACCTGGTTGCACAGGTCGTGATCACAAGCAGACTGAAGATGCGATATCACAGCTTCCCGCATTCGGGCGATGAATCTTTTTCATTGATGGCACACAAGGTACACAAGCCTACCAAGGTATTTAGATAATTATTTTCGCGTTAATACCCGCGTAATTTATGTTGTAAATACGAAACCCGAAAGTTTAAAAGTTAGTAAGATTTGTAAGGGATTCTCTCTGGACCTGTTTAATGCTATTATTGTCAATCGGCGACCGATAGCTTCAAAGTTTGCCTGTTGTTTTTTTTTACAGGATAAGTCGCCATTTCGGCCCTTTTCCTACCATCAAGTGAATTACTTGATGAAAAGGAATAGGCGCCGACCATGAACATAACACCACAGGAGTTGCATGTGCGATGCCGGCATTATTGGGATAAGAAGTTTTGGGCGTTTAAAGATTGGGGAAGGATGGGGAGAGGATAAGGATTGGGACTCCGGTACCCACTTTCACACGAACAAACACAAAACTGTGGTTGGTCGAGCCGGTCCGCTTCGTCTCACACGCTTAGGACAGACACATATTACACTATAATTAAACTTGTGTTAAAATAACACAAGTTAGATAATTACACAAACCAACCTTGTAATTTTAATAGTTGGATAAATTACACTGAAACTATTTACCTAGTTAGTGTTTCGGTAAAGTTTGTACATTGTTTATAGCTCTCCACAAATTACTTGCGTGAGGAATTTATAACAAAAAGCTGTTTAGCTGTTATATTTCATGGAAAGCGAAGTTTTCCGTGTTGAGGTTACAAATAAGTTACTTGTACATTAAACTTTTACCACGAATTACAGGAAGCCATTAATTTTGTAATGTAATTTACTGAACGAACTAAAGCACACTGGGACTTGCAGTTCATGTGAAAGTTGCATCATAAATTTAATTGAATGATGACAATATAAGTTTTAAATGAACTTGAAGAAGATTGGATACGTATTACGTGTTAACGCTTCTTTTAAGTATAAATAAATATGGTAAGTGGTAATAATGATTAGAATTAGAAAGTGATAAGAATGAATCAGTAGAGTGGCTTTACGCTGTAATCAAGAGACAAGTCTGAATGCCGTACTTCCGAGGAGACTACCCTCAGCTGTGGGTACGGATTACAGTTTTAATAAAAAAAAAATTGGCGATTTCTGAGCAACGAGTCGTGGATTTTATTCCCGCACTGAAAAACTCTTTTCCAACGACAATTTGTGGGACACAGGAGAAATACCAAATGTGTGGCAACGTTATTAAAGAAAAATAAAAACATACAAACATACTTATGTATATACCAAGTATGTATTATAAAGTCGTAGCCGTTCAACAATAACTAGATTTATTTACCAAAGAAAACACAAAGACAATAATACTCTAATAAACATTCAAATTACATCGACAACGAGAAACGCATGTTCAACCTTCCACGTGCCAAACAGGATCATTATACCAAACCCAGTTAGCATGTTTACAGGTTATGTACTGATTGTGTTTACAGAGGGTTAATCAATCATGATTGATAGGTCGAGCGTGAATGCGCACGTCCAACAGGTGCTAAACAGCTGATGGAATGGGCAGAAAGCTTTTTATTTTAGAAATTAGTATTCCATCTTCGACTTTAGTTACCAAGTATACCTATATACGTTAAAACGAGGGATTTTCAATAAAGAAATTAGAAGAATTAGTAGCATTATATCCCAAGCTATAATTATAGATATGTTTATGTTATAATAATCACAGTATTTGTCAAACTTTTTTTAGGGGGTATAATCATTACGTAGATATTCCCCTCTCTGGGTGGGGTGAGAAGGATTTTCAGACTTACTGACTAAAAGCTACCCGGTCCTTTTCCATAACACATACTTAGATAAGCATTAGTGTGTTTATTGATTTCATATAAGTACGTTCGATTTTACTTTTCAGTGAGAACACAATTAAAAAAATCATTAATAATCTACATTTATTTTGAACATTTTTGTCCCAAAATAGGTATCCTATTATTATAATTATAAATGTTTTCGACATCTCATCTCCATCTAGGTATTTAGTCTAAATTGAAAATTTAATTAAATTAGACTATATTAGATATCCAAGAGAATTCTGGTTTCATCACCGAAACTGTCACTTCATCTAATGTCTTTATGAATATTTAATGAATAAATTAATTGATTCTAGAGAATTAAGAACGAATGACATTCATTTCATAACTAAATATTCTAGTTTGAAGAAAATGAGTATTGATGAATTTTTTTACGAAACTAGCGACTCGTCTTTGCTGCGCATGGATGTCCATCTATCCCGGTATCAGTCATTTGTTTTGGTACAGCACCGAAAGGCTTGCTATTTCCCGGTACCCCATCTACTCTTGGAAAATATTCTTTTATGAAAACTTTCTCCTGAGCTAAATAAAAATACAGCTTAAAAAAATCGAGAATCGATTTAGCCGTTCACGCGTGATGCCACGAGCGAGAGAATTTGTGATTTAATTTTATATACGTATTTATGTGCATCGATTTGTATTGATCGTGAGAGCCTTGGTACTGGATGAAACGAAGTTTGTTATAGTCATTACTTAACCCGTGGTCTTTATAAGCGAGACACAAACAATGTATTTTCTATTGTCTCGTATACCGGCAGATGAGAGGTCAATGTAACTAAGGCAACCATTTTTAACTAAAACTTTTTCAGACTGTGTCACCTCCTTCATACACCAAACTTAGACGTATGTGGCAGTGAGTTCATATTATAAATAATGACGTTCTACATTCAAGATCTACTCCGTAGTAGCTATAAAGTTAGTTATTCTTTGCAAGAAATCGTAAGTTGACGTATTTAGATTTAAGAGTGCATCAAGTAGGTACTATGAATACCATAGACTAGACCAAATCATATTTTGACGAGTTCGGATCGGACGTTATGCGTAAAATTTTTAGACTATCTGATTAAATGTCCCTTAAAGAAGTAGATTCAGGCAAAATCCCTGTATATGGGAAAATTATTATCGGGATAAAACTTTTCAGTCAACATACTTGTCTCTGTTGTTTTGCATTCATTACCACGTGCCTTACTAAGTTAGGAAACAATCTCGTTTAAGACCTGACTGCACAATGTAATATGCCAATCGACCTTAGAACAGCTAGTGGATACAGTATAGCTACTAACTAGATAATCAACTAGACATTATCAAAATCGAATCTCAATATAGTTATAACATAGTGATAAGTTTTCGCAAATTTTCCAATAAACCCTAAGGTTGGCTGGAAGGAAATGGGCATACGAAATTAAGGCCACCTTTTATAAAATGCAAATTAATAAATATTTTTACAAAATAATGGAGATTTGGTAAAAACAAAAATAAAATCAAAAATAGATTAATTACATCTCAAACACCTCACTGAGAATGCAATAAAACCCAGTCTATTTAAAAATCTAGATCGCAAAGTACACTTAAGGACTAATTAATACGTAATTAAGCTTAATTGACACTCACCCATTTTAAGTTTTTCTAGCTGCTGCACGGGTAAATCCTGTAACAAGAATAAGGTTTTCAATATTAATTTATAGAATTTACTATACAGTTTTTACTTTAAAACAGCTAATTTTTTTTTGTCAATATATCTTACTGTTAGACTAGAACTATTCGCAATTGTATGGAACTAGGTACATACCTAACTGAAAATGATCTCATAACCTTACATCTTTGGGAATCAAGAGGTGGCATGTTATGTTATTGATATCTTGAAAAGCCAAATAATACAGTGATAGAAAAAACTGTTTTAAACTAACTGTGAAGCTTTTAATATTGGCTTTGCAGAGATTGCCGTACTCCAATTTCAAGTATACTGAATGTGTATAGGACCAATAATTTGAACACGACATTTTGTTAGTACGCATGAATATTTTTTACTCTTTCGTGTAAAACCCGAATTCAGATTTGAATGAAACTTGGCATAGCTTGCACTGCAGATTAAAGTCGAAAAGAAATAGAGTAATGTATTATGTAGACCATAATCTAAAATAACAAATAGGTGGCCTATTTTATACTGGTAGGTACTGCGGGCATAGTCATAGATAAAAGTTGTTATAGGTACCACTTCAATATAAACAGATAAGAAAAAACAAGAAAAAGGTAATAATTAATAATTATAAATACAATAAGGATACTTAAAAATATTAAAATTAAAGTCGTTCAACATTAAATCGTATATTTTATCTTTTCGATAAAGATGGCTCCTCTCTAATTTCTTATTGATCCTCAACCGTATAAAGATTAATGTTGGCGTGTAGAATTAAATGTCAGAACTTAAATGAAAATAGATTTAAGTGGCGTCTATTTTTAATAAAGAGGTGAACTAGCCCTTGAACCTAGTGACCTTTGAAGTGGCGTTGGCCTAATTTATTTCATTGAGCCTTCGTAAATATAAAGTAAGAAATATAACCTGGCTCGCTTGAGTAGTAAACGTGGTAACTGAGTAGTTGAGGGTCCATGTATGTTATTGTAGGTATAGTTATATTGTTGAGTCCACGATGAAGTACCTCGGACTCGTTCTCGACAGTCGGTGGAATTTCGGGCCGCACTTTACACGGCTCGCCCCCCGGTTGATGGGCGCCGCTGCTGCTTTGTCGCGCTTGCTGCCCAACCAGGGGGGGCCCATCTACTCCTCCCGGAGGCTCTACATGGGGGTCGTACGGTCGATGGCGTTATACGCCGCGCCAGTGTGGGCGGGAGCCCTGACGGCTCGCAACATCGCTGCGCTGCGAAGGCCACAGCGCGCGATGGCCGTCAGGATAATAAGGGGATACCGTACGATCTCCTTTGAGGCAGCGAGCCTCCTAGCCGGATCCCCGCCCTGGGACCTCGACGCAAAGCTCCTCGCGTCACTCTATTGGTGGCGTGCGGAGGCAGTCGAGCGGGGCGAGCGCCTGGTGCCTCGACAGGTTGAGGCACGCAGGGCAGAACTCCGCCAGGCCTTAGTGGCGGAGTGGCAGACGCGTTTAGCGCAACCCACGGCGGGGCACGCCGCTATAGCGGCGGTAAGGCCAATTCTACAGGAGTGGCTCAATAGGAGCCACGGCGCCCTCAGCTTCCGGCTGACGCAGGTGCTTACCGGACACGGGTGTTTCGGGAAGTACCTGTGTCGCATAGGCCGGGAGCCGACGTCTCAGTGCCACCATTGTGGTAATTGCCGCGACGATACGGCGCTGCATACGTTGGCGGAATGTCCAGCTTGGGCCGAGCAGCGCCGTGACCTGGTCGCGGCCGTAGGTGCTGTGGGAAATCTCTCGCTTCCGGCTGTAGTGTCTACTATGGTCGGGAGCGAGTCAGGGTGGAGTGCCGTCGCTATCTTTTGCGAGGCCGTGATGCTCGCAAAGGAGGCGGCGGAAAGGGAGAGAGAGGCTGCCTCCTCTCTTCCCTCCCGCAGCAGACGCACTAGACGTCATAGAGTGGCCGACCTGCGGCCACCGTAGGGCGCGGCCTGCGGACGACAGACTCGGGGCGTCTAGTCGTCCGACCAGCAGCAGGCCTCGAGGCGGCGGTGCCGTGTTCCGCGCGCGCCTCATAGTGGAGTCCTGCGGTCGGGGTGACGGCCGCAGTGGGTGACGGGGCCCGCCTTACCATCTGGCGGGCCAATACCCGTCGGGGGGTTGCGACGAATGCTTCGGCGATACCCGCCCCTCCGACACATGGGTAATTGGAGGAACACCGGGTTGGTTTTTAGTCAGTAAGAGTCTGACAGTACCCTTTGCCCTTACCCCGAGGGCGGTGGGTCTCCATGAGGATTTTCCAACCCGACACCAAAAAAAAAAAAAAAAAGGTATAGTTATATTGCCTCATTGTTCAAAGTTGTTGTAATCAAATATGTTTGTTTTATTTGAACCCATAAGGTATGTATTATGTAGACATGTTGTTAAGTAGGCATGTTAGGCCTGTTACTACAGTTATATGATGAGATGTAATTGTGAGCCCTTCACCAGGCGCGTTGTGACGCAGTAATTGTGACTGCCCAAGTGCCCACTGCCCAGCAAAGAGTCTTGAATTAAATCCCTTAGCGGGATAAAGTATTGTTTTACTAGCTTTTGCCCGTGACTTTGTTCGCGTGGAATAGTAACTTCCAAGCGTGGTGGTTGATGGTCTTTTCTTATTTGTAAAACGATTTTATGATTTTAAGTGTCCTGAAAGTTCTCAGTAGTATCACGAATACTAAAAATCTGTAAAACTAATACTGGGCATGTTTATACAGATTTACAAAGATAACATTATTCAGTCAAAATGGATGGTATAAATTTCAGAATTGAAATACTACGTTTTAACTTTCTGACTGAATTGTTTGAATTCGCAAATGGCATTACAGCGATTGTCAATTCAGGAGCTGATAAGGCGATGAAATATATTTTCTATATTGTCTCAATAAAGCCGTAAATCGTAAAAAAATGTTTATATACATGAGTTATCATAAATATTTTGGGTAGTAAATCATCAAGTCATGTAATATAGTCATGAAAAATTATGTTGTAATCGTTTAAATATATACACAGCATATTCATCTTAACTTATTTTTTTACTCTGAATGTTTTGTCTGCTAGAGGACGCCACATTAGATTTTGTGATACCCCATATAGGCTATAACCAGCGGACAATTAAGATGTTTCAAATGATATGTCATTTGTCGAATTCTGATAAGTAGTTTAGAAGTTACGAGGGAGCAGATGAACACACATACATGCGTAACCTGTCAAAATCATAACCCTCTTTTTGCTTTGCCGTAGTCGGGTAAAAATAACGACTTTCTTACGTTTATTAACTGAGAAAGGATACTTACACCCGGTTTCTGAAAGGCTTGTCAACGCTAAAATTAACTAATCACCTGTTAAATCTCTTGTCAAGTCATCTGATTGGTTGGTGATAATTCAGTCAACCAATCAGATGACTTGACAAGAGATTAAATTGATTTTAACATTGATCGGCCTTTCGGAAACCGGTTTTTATTCTAGTAACAACGGGTTATTCATGTCTGTTCTTCTTGCTTTTATTTGTTATTATTTTTACTTCAATGTAGGGAAACTGTACTAGTTTCAAATTACAGCGGGTGGAATTTATATTCAAGATCAAAAGATATATTCAAGATAGGTTAGGTTAGATAGGTATTCAAATAAACGTAAACAAACAAGGAGGTAGGATTGCACATTCCATTAAATTAGCATTCCCGATGTAACTACATAGATTTACTCTTAGAAGATGACTAAGCAATTCCTAAGGGTATTAATTCAGTGAATCTCTATTTATATGGCTGACCCTGTTCTTAATGAAGGCCGATAGCTACGCAACATGTGTTTGCACCAAGGTTATATGTTTCCCAGTGGTGAATATAATATTATTAAGTGCCTAGGACACAGTTGCTCTATATACGTATCGACTTGGTTAACGAAGTAATTAAGTATAGGTAAAGTTATAGACTAGCTTTATGTACCGCCAATACGAAGCCAAATGATACATATATTATATATAGGTGCTTTTTATGTATATTGTTTATCTAGCTATTTACACTGGATTTCTTCCGTTGCCCGGCGTGATTGTCAATTGATAGATAACCATACCTAATAGAACCAAAGAAACACTTACAAAAAGTATGTTAGTGAAAAGAAAAGCACTATCTGATAAAAAAAATTGATTCTATGTATCGAAACTTAAAAGTTAAAAATCGAATAAATAAATAACACAACTGAAAGAAATCTAAGGGTTAAGTTTAAGTTCATTTGATTCTTAATCTAAATCAAATTTTTTAAAGAATATATCAGAGATGGAGAATTTTAAAGATTTTTCTAGTGGTAACAGGTTGGTACCTATAAAAGCATAAAAATAATAATTTTCGTTTTCGATCAAATACCTTTTAATTGCAAAGTTACGGTGATTGACTTAAATGTTTTACTGGTAATAAATTGAATATGGGTTGTCTGACATCGCCAAGTAAAGCGAGTTATTGATATTGTGAGTGAACAAACTTATGACCTTCTCAAAATCAATATTGTTTGGGATAATTGAGCAGTACAACTATGGAGTAACTTAATTTTGATGGAAAATTAGCCCTGGTACTACCCCATTTTCAAAAAAATCTCGATAATCGCGAAAATGGAGCTAAATGAACTGTTTTTTGTGGCTCAGAATCAGCTAAGCGAAGGCAAAACGCTATTGGTAAAGTTCAGGGGTTTGCTAAGGAATTAATACTCTTTGAGTCGCTTTAAACTAGTCGAGTCACTTTTTTGAACAACGTGGGAGGCAGCTGTTCAACCTAATCTAAAGGTTCAGTTACAATTACAAGACCGACATGACAGGAGAGAGATTAGGTGCAGGATCAACCGTTTCACGTGCTTTCCAATGCATAGGGCTTAAACATTGATAAACCCCTCTTTTGAGAGTTTAAAATCATCGAATGATTCCTCCTGCTCTGGTTATGCCGAGAGTGATTTACAAACTTAAAACCATCCCGTACTTCTCCTGCTTCGGGAGGCGGTTGGACACCGGCCGTAG